TCTGTAACATAACGATATCTTATATCAATATAACATATATAATGTATATATAATGATACCAATATAATGTTGCTAGAGCTATTACCATCAAAAGGATCTCCCACTTTTGTTTTGCTGTACATCTTCAATAACCTTCTCAACACTTCATCGTAAAGACTATCATGTACTATCTGGAATAAACAAACAAATTAATTAATTAATTAACAAATAAATAAATAGATAAATAATAAATAAATAGATAAATAAATAAACAAACAAACAAACAAACAAATAAATAGATAAATGAATATAACTAGCCAGTCTCCTTGTAGAAGTACAGCACTGTCCATTGGCTACAAACAGTCCGTTGTACAGTTCATTCATCAGTATATCCAGGTCAGCAGTTTCATCAACCAGTATGGCGTTGTTACCTCCCAGTTCTAGTATACTCTTACCAAACCTTTCCTGGACTATCACACCTACTTTACGACCAACCTATGACAAATTAATTTATTATTATTAACATTAATTGATATTACTTGAGTGCTTCCAGTAAATGATAATACATTAATTCTTTTATCTTTACACATTGACTCTCCGATATCAGACCCACCACAGACACTAGTACATACTCCAGCTGGTATAGAGTTACTTGTCAACACTCTCTCTATTATCTTACTAACTGCTATCTGAGTTAATGGAGTACTGGGAGCTCCCTTCCTAATTAATGGGTGGGGCTAGTTATTAACAGACTCCACCCACTCACCATACAGTACAGTTACCACACACTAGGCTAAGGGACTGGTTCCAACCAAAGACAGATGCTGGATAATTAAAAGCCGTGATGATTCCGACTAGCCCATATGGGTTCCATTGTTCCATTAACATATGACCTGGCCCTAATTTAATTAATTAATTTAATAAAACAATTAAATTAATTAATTCATTAATTACTCTCTGATGGAAAGATGTGTCCTCCTATCATACGAGAGAGTCCGACCGCAAGGTCACAACATTTAATGTAATCATCAACTTCGTCAAAACCTTCGTACTGCAACTTACCAACTTCAAGAGCAATCTAAAAACAAATAATAACAACAACAACAACACAACAACAACAATAATAATAATCATCTTACTAATTTCCCTAATATATTTTTATTTTTTCTAAATTCCTCGTTCATTTCTCTCACAATATTACCCCTCAAGGGGCCTGGTACCTGATCAATTATTAAATAAATTAATAAAATTATTAATGAACTCACTTCTCTCCATATCTTCCAGGCGTTCATTGAATTAATGACAGCATTATTATAATCATCTTTATTACCCTGACCAATGGTCATTAATTATTATTAATTAATATTATTAGTACCTCTTGTATGGCTGCAATGGGTCGGCCATTAATTGGAGATATTGAATCAATCACCTAAAAAATAAATAAATAAAAATAAAAATAATAATACTCACTGAGCCACTCCCACACCACTTATTTCCATCGTATACTCCCGGATTTTTCTCTTGTAATCCTAGTTCTTTGAGCCACTGGTATTCCGGCTCATTAATGA